GGACCACAGGGTGAGCGCCCCCTGCTGGCCCCACTAACACCTCTTCCAGCAGCAACCTTAGTTTTTCCCAGGAGGTCTCCCATCCAGGTACTGACCATATTCACTCATGTTAAAGACCAGGTAAGACCAGTCCAGCCCAACTCTGTCTTACCAGCAGGAAGTTTAACTCATCAAGTGGAATCTTGAGTATCAAACGTCTTTATTCACATTATAATTCTCAGGAGTTAATCTGTTATTCCAAACACGTTTGATGTTCTGTTTACGATAGTACTGTGAATTGTTGCGTTTGATTGGTCCCTAAAATTCTCTTAGTACTCCTGCAATTTACTGTCACGTTTTTTAATGGTTACAGTAAATTAAAGCTCCACATCACATATACCTACAATCCTTTAATGGACTAAAATGAATGGATGTTCTGGTGGAACATCAGAAGGAACTGCTGCACAGTGAACACAGGGAAGAACTTGATGAGGACATGAACCAGGTTCCTGTTACCCAGCTGTCTGATCCATTACAGGTCTTACCAGCTGCAGGTCCCGTAGCTCGTACTCGTAGCAGGAAGTATCAAAACTGTTACCTCTTCTCTGAGCACATGTCCACTGTCAGGCGTGTGAATTGAGCTCAGTATTAATCTCCCTAACTGTCTGCTTCATCAGTGTGACTGATCTAACAGCCCTGCAGCTCCCAGTAAAACTGCAGGGTGGACCACACTGCTCTGCAATGGGAGGGATTTCTCTGTCACCAGCGATGTCTTTGAAAAGTGACGCAGATTTACCTGGAATAAGAACAAGGGCAGCAAGTAGCACACTGACTGCAGTCTGGACAGACATTTCTCCCACGTCAGTCTGTAACACAGGAGAGTAGAGAATATGTTAGTGGTTCTTTTGTTCATATAGTCATGTGAAACACATTCTGTGTGGAGTCTGCATGGTGTTTTGCATCTTGTTCATGAGCTTTGGTTTCCTCACAGCTTCCCAAAAAATCCTGGTTGGGCATATGCATGTCTTTGACACACTATTGCATGCCTGAGTGTGTGTTTATATGTCCTACGATGGACAGGTGTCCTACCCTAGGTGGAGTACTGAAATACCCCCATAAGCATGTGTGTTCATGGGCCCTGCAATTTCAGTATTCATTTTTTATCATATATATCATTATATATCCGTCTACCATAACATATAGAAGTTCAAGTAACAGTAGTCTGCCTTGAGTAACTACCATAACTACCTTAAACAACTGGCTTGGAAAATCAATTAAAAAAACAGAAATACTACAGAAATACAGGAAATCTAAAAATCACAGTACAAACAACAGAGGTGAAGATACTCATTCGCGCCACAAATATGGGACGAACAGACCAGGATCAAGCGGAGTGGCTCCTGAGGGTCCCAGACAGAATACAGTCATTATTAACAGAACTTGTACGGCTACTGCTACTTTATTTATTTTATTTATTACAAAATAATAATAATAATAATAATAATAGTAAACTTACATGCTTTCGAAATTCCGTTTTTGAAAAAACGTTCCAGCTAAAAGCAAAATGACAGAATTAACAAACTGGAGAAGAAAAGATACTCATTCGCGCCACGAATATGGGACGACCAGACCAGGATGAAGCGGAGGGGCTCCTGAGGGTCCCAGACAGGTGAGCGAGCCCGTGTCATACCTGCAGGGTTGAAGGTGCTCGGTGCGGCACTGGGAGGATGAGTCGCTGAGCCCTGCTCACAGACTGAGAGCAGAGACGCGGGTGAGGCTGATTCACAGGAGACTCATTTGAATTGTGGTTTAGATTTGCTTCAGCAGAGAAAGTTACCCTTTGTGTTCAGTGTTTTTTGGGTGTACTGGAAGATGCCCGGGGGACTGGTAACGTGCGATAAACATGCCTTATAAGGGGCTGTTTATTTATTTTTTACCGGCAAGAAGACATATTATACTATCCTGGAAAGTTTTTATTTCCGTGTTCGGTATTTAAGTCGTGTGCAAATTTGTAGATATTGTTTTGGCACAGCTCTATAGTTTTTAAACTGTTTCTGTATTATTATTGTTCTGCGCTGATGTGCGCAACTCTGATATTCTCAACAGCTCAAGCACACACGAGCCTTCTGGTGAATTTCCAACAGGATCTGACCTGACACACAGGTGTTAAGGCTTAATTTAGTCTAATATCCATTCTCAAGGTTTAATATACCTTGTAATAGAATTTATTTTAGGGGGGTTGAGTTTTGCCTATTTACTGTTGAGAAACATTTCTTCCAGTCGGTCAAATATTACCATCCTTGTATCCCCTTAGATAATTTTCTATTTCCTTAACATTCTGTTTAAATTAATATATTCTCTTGCATAATGTTCTTATTTCTGTATAACTAAATGGTAAATTATTTTGGTTCCAGATGAAAGCTCTCCGATTTTAAAAAGATATTCTGGTCTGTGGGCTGTTTGTTTTTTGTAGTGTTATGAAGTGACACTACAGATACAATGGGTAACACCTAGATTATGTCAACATTTCCCGTTTGCTGAAATGTAGATTCCCAGATTCAATGATCAAAGCATTTGTTAAGTTTACCCTAGTTGACCTTAGTTAATTAAGTTCTGGGTAAATGATTAAGTGCCCAGCGTTGATTAACAGTCCAGAAAGACACCAGGCCTAGGAAGCAAGTGGACAATAGAGGACACATCAAGAGGAGGACATGGGACAAGAGAGAGGACAAGAGTCCTTGTTCCAGATCACCCAGGAAGACTAAGTATTGTAACCTTGTTAAGAGACCGTGCTATTTTGCAGTTTTTAGGGAACTCTAATTTCCTGTGCCAAGAATCCCTTGGTTAAAAACAGCCTCTTGGTTAGTGGATGTATTTAGCTGGGGTGGTCAGCCAGAGCCCAGCCGGGAGAGAGTGCTGCAGAGTGGGCTAGAGAGGGCGTGCCCTGGACCGGGCCGAATAGTATGCCCCTGGAGGCCGGAACCGGTGCCGAGTCCCTAGTGAGCAGAGGGGAAGGGCCAGGGTCTGGAGCCGGGCGAGGCAGCGCGGGGAGCACCCCGCTGGGCCGCTCTTCAGGGGGTCTCCTCCCGAGACCAGGCCAAGCGCGCCCCTGAAGCCCAGAGCCAGCGCCGGCCGGATCAACCCGGGAAGCAGACTGGGAGTATCGGGAAGGCAGGGGCAGGAGGGACTCCGCTGGGACGCACTGGCGGGTGGGCCGGGGTGGACGGATCCGCAGTCGCCGAGGAGAAACTGACCAGGGCAGAGCAGCCGTTCAGCCGGTCAGCGAGGGCACGGCAACCTCCCCGCGGCGGACAGCATGTGACAGCAAGGCTGGAGCTCTGGGCGCCCTGTACTGTGTCCAGACCTCTGCAGCCAGACTAGCTCACAACACATCCCCCTGATTCTAGTACTACTAGAGCTGATACTACTGCCACTACTGCTGTGATCATTACTGCTGCCTTACCATCACTGCTGCTACTACTTGTGTGACTACTGGAGCTCTTTGCAGATTTTTTAGATCAGTGCTTAGTTTGTTTCCTTACTTTTTTACTTTACCTTCAGTTGCTTTAATTAAAAAATCAGACCCGTCATTATGTCTTGGCGTGTATTTTTCTCTTTTTACAGTGAGTGCAGACCCTTTACCTGTATTTTTTTTTCCTCCATGAATTACATCGGTCTCTGTCTTCCAGACGCCCCCAAGAACACCTCAGTGTCCATCAGCCCCTCTGGTGCAATAGCAGAAGGCAGTTCTGTCACCCTGACCTGCAGCAGCTCTGCAAACCCTCCAGTGAAGAACTACAGCTGGTTTAAGATCAATGGAACTGGTCCATTATATAAAGGACCCAACTACACCATCATTAACATCAGCTCTGCAGACAGCGGACAGTACTACTGTGAAGCACAGAGTGAGATTGGAGCTCTGAACTCTACTGCTGTGAATCTCACTGTAGCAGGTAGAAATGACTTTTCTCTGTTAAAGTATTCTATCTCTGGGTCAGAAATTCTTGATCCTTATATTTTTAGATATCTTTCAGCTTTGTGTAGGGGTCATTATTAGAAGTCATCTTGAAAAATTCAGATCTAAGACCAAAACATGCCTACCGAGCGTGATTTTACAGTGAGGTGAAAATATAATCGCTCACTATTGTTAATACAATACTAAATTACAATTCAGTCCTTCAGGGCTCTAGTGTCTGCAGTCAGGGGTTAAAGGTCACTGTGAATCTGGGCTCATGAAGACAGTAACTGGCTCAGTTCAGGTACTAAGGATTACTGTCTTGTAAGTGATTCTTAATCATTTTGAAATGATTCAGTAGTTATTTCGGTAAGGCTAACCACAAACCATCCTGAGGATAAGTGAAGTCCCGAACTGAATTATAACACAACCCACACCCTGGAGGATTCAACCACACAGAGCAGAAACAAACTTCTCTGAATCTCCTGTAGACCCACACAGCAGATATTCTTTCCACCCCGACAGCCTGGAGCGGCTCTCCACAGCTGCATCCTGACGGCTCGCTCTGAAGAGCCTCTCCTGCTTTGTGAATGAACTCTCTCGCCGCCCAGGCGCGAGTCAAGCCTCCTCTTCTCCCTCTCCCAGCCTCGGAGGAAACCGGCTCTTGAGCTTTGCTGTTCGAAGAAGGGAGAAGAAATGTGGGTCCCCCTGCAGGTTCAGGTCTCCCCAGCTTGACACATGTGAGGGGAGTGGGGTACTGGTCAGAGACCAGTCCCAGTTCACTGTCCACAATCCCAATAACCAAAATACACAAATCACTCATGGTTGATAAACATACACAGCACATACTTATTTAAAAGTACTTTATTAACTTATAACTACCAATTTGCTGTTTAAAATGTTAACAGTCTAAACCTGGGATATTCTGACCAATATTTTTCCTCATTGAAAAATCAACATCCTAATTGAATAATCATTTTTTTAATTGGAACATCTAATAGAGTTCTTAAGTTAAGTTAGAACCATACCTGGACCCTTCAATTAAATCTTAATTGAACATCCTAATTGACCTGTTGAAATTAAATCTTTATTGAACCCCCCTCCAAATAAATGCCAACAATCTAATCGAATCCTTGAATGACCACTTAGTTGAAACCCATATAGAATTAATGACTAATTGTTTTCAGCCCTGAGATTAAAAGCTATTTACTCAATTGCTGGTGACCCGGGATGTCCGCAAGTTTAAAAGCTGTGTCATCGGGGATGAGGGAACTGGTTGAAGCTCTAATCTCAGACAAAGGTAGCCGAGCTCAGAGATGAAGAACAGGGGTGTCAGATGAGCTGGGGGTGAAGAGTCCGTGATTGAGATCACAGTCTCATCTCATCTGTACAATCTGGGATCGAATGGCCAGAGTAGGGGACAGAGAAACGCACAGACGCCCTCAGACCCCGAGAAACCCCTTCTCTGTCTGACCCCGCAGCCCGGCTGGACGTGACGGTGCTCTCTTCAGCTGCTGGTGGCCCGGCTGGGGCGACGCTCCTCACGGCGCTGGCAGTGTTTGCTGTCTAGAGGTCAGCAGGCAGGTTCTCGTGATTCTCCCCCACTTCTTCACGTCACCTCTGGCCACAGCTGTCAGATGAGAGACGCACTGAGTGGCGTCATCACAAGGCAGGACGAGAAACGCACGTTATTGTTACTCTTGTTGTTGCAATAATAAAAAAAAAAACAGTCCGAGAAAATGTGAAAGCGCCTGAGACGGTGGTTTCGACACGTATCGCTTCCAGGGAACTCTGAAGTGGTGGGATTAACCGCTGACGGCTGGAAGCGGACTTTAATCGTGACCCTGACCTGTCCTGTGAGCAGGAGGACGAAAGACGCACCGCGCAGCTCGCCTGAGACTCCGGGCGAACAGGTGACGGGTTTCTTCTCACTCTGCTCCCCAGTGCGACTTTTTAATGGTGGAGAAACTCTTCTTCCTTTCATTTACAATATCGAAATGCAGCGGGAGTTGCAACGTGAGCGGGGTCAGCAGGGGTTCGAGCGCGAACTGGGCCAGTGCGCCGGACGCAGTGTCCGTCAGCCGCCGCTAGATGGCACCAGCACGAACCGGTCATGTAGTTCTGTGACGGTGCATGCAGCGCTCTCTCTATTAACCAAACAGCGCAGCAGATCTCGACACTGATGTCGCTGGATGACCATTCATCGTCGAATACATTTCAACGGAGAAACATTTTCCTCTCTGAAGCACAACTCTGCACGGATCGAGCCTATAGACTCCCCGCCCGGACACGCGCGCACGCACGGGAATGCCGTCACGCAGGCGTGTTTGTGCTGCTGTGGGAGACCCTGGCTGGGGCTGTGGAGGGGTGAGGAACCTCCTTGTTCGGAGTGGTGGGCAGAGGAGAAGATTCCCCAGGACAGCTCAACATGGGGAATAGGACCTACATGTGATAATGTCCAGGAGAGGTGAAGAAGGGAATTCTTCCGTGGTCAGGATTTGAGACTTATCTAGTCCAGAATATTAACATTGGTATGTAAGAAGGCTGTCCAGTCCTGTTCCTGGGGATGTTCTGGGTCTCTTTAAAGCAGCAGCAGCAGCTGGGTGAAACTGTTAATCTGGGCCAGGTGATACAGTGGCCTGCTGGTCTCACTTGTTCAGAGCTTAATTGTAGTGAAGACCCACAGCAATGCAATGCTCCAAAGCGTCCAGTGGGTGGCGCTGTTTGTCAAGTGAGGTGGCTAGAAGCTGTTCCCTGTTGCAGAACTGCTGGAAGGCCTCAGGGCTGCTGCTGCTGCACAGTGCTGTGGATGGAGATCTGAGGAGCAGGGAGGCACCCAAGAGAGAAAACCGCATCCCAGACCCGAGCAGCGAGGTCTCAGCAGGGCTGGTGAGACAGCGGGGAAGCGAGCAACACGGGGGGTCTCCACTGGCGGAAACACGCACATTATCCACCAGGCCAGAGCGGCCGCAGTGCGCGTGGGCTTGTGCAGGGGGGGCGCTCGGCCGTGGGCGGACCGGGGTCTCCGTCTCCACCGGGGCGCGGCGCCTCTCTCGCGCCAGGAGCGTCACGTCCCAGTCGGGCGAGAGCGGGCGTGAAGGACAGGGAGTGCTGTTACACCTGTGCAGCTGGCTGGTCAAAACAGTGTAAAACACACCTCATGAAAACCGTTTGCCCCCCTTTAGGTTGCACGTGTCTAGGAGAACTCCCGAACCCCAACTGCGCAAAGGTCACTTCAGACCGCACCAAGGGAGGAGGGCCGAGCCTGCTGCACCGTGGGCTCCAGGCGCTGGAGCAGCGGCGGTCTGGGGCAGAGCTCTCGGTCCGAGCGATCTGGGAAAAGCTTCCCTCTGCATCCCGGCTCTCCACGCTCGAGAGTGGCTCCTCTCTTTGTCTTCCTCTCGGCCGCTCACCTCTGTCGGATCTGCTCATCCCTGTGTTTCGCCGAGCTCCCCCTGCCACGTCCAGCAGGGACTCGGGCGCGTCGTGGAATATCGCCCGCGAGTGGGTCAGTGCCGGGCGCCGCGGTCACGCAGGGATGTTCCGCCAGGGGGCGTCAGTCCGCTTGCTCGTGCGCTGTTCGTACCAGCGGTGCAGGACGGAGCGAGCGCCTGCTTCCTCGGGGCTGTGGTGTCTGCTGGGGTGTGAGGCGGAAAGGGCCAGTGTGGCGGTGAATCGCGCTGGTTGAAGAGAGCTGTGAAAAACAGCAAAATGCCACATAGAATCAGAAGCAACGGCATGTGATGTTTTTGCTGCTTTGGCGACACGTTCTCCTCTCGCTTGTCTCTCACTGTGATCCGTGTCGGGCTCGGCTTTGGCCCAGTCCGGAGCGACACTACTGCGCAATGACCAGGCCAGCAGTGCGCTGCGCTCCTTTCCGCTTTGTCAAACCCGGCGCGTAATCTCTTATGTAGTTTAAGATACACTGATACGAATCACCAGTGGCCATTAACATAGGTGTACTGTAAGAGACAGTGCTTTACGTAAATAGATGTGGGAGCATGCAACAAACTATCCAGACAGGTCGCTGAAGCCGATATTTTCAAGAAGCAGCTGAACCAGATCTTCAGATCGATATAACTGTTATTTATGAGCTTCCAATAGCGTTGCACGGGCCGTATGGTCTCCCAACGTTTGTGACTTTTCATCTGTATCTATGTGCAAACTGAGCCGGAACCAAAGACCCAGACTTCGCAATTCAAACCCCCGCGCGGCGAGTGCCGGTCCGAACTCGCACGCGCTGCGCTCGGTCCCCGAGTCGCCGGTTTCGGGGCTCCTGCGCATGAGCTGCCTGGGTCGCGATCCAGTATGAAACAGAAAATTAAAAGCAAATGACAGAAAATTGAAGGAAATGAGGTCCGCGTGATTACAAGCCTCTTTATCTCCAAGCTGTGTCTATGGTCCTGTCTGAAATTCACCAGGAGACGCGAGCACGCCTGGGATTGTGAGGGAGAAACTTTACTTCAGATACAGAGAAAAATCACATCATCTCTATCTGGGGGGGAAATACACCTTCTTCGATACCCGCAGCTACCTCTTCAGTTTGCCGGGGTTTATTATTTTAAGAACCAGAAGACCGGAATTTCCTGTCAAGAGCTGACAGTTCTGAGCCGCTACTAAAACAGCTGACCAAACAAGTATACAGTATAGAAGTCAACCGAGCCCACAGGAAAGAATATGATTTTTTAACTGAAGGTTTTGGAGATTTAAAATAAAGTTAGGGGATACAAGGATGACGGTATTCCACTTACTGCAGAAAAAGAGATTTTTACAAATCAAACCGAAAAAGAACACACGTTCCATTACGTTTAGTACGCTCAATGTTTAGTAACATACTAAATATCCCAAATGAATGTGAAAAACAATATCAAAAAAGGTATTTTTCTAAAATCTGATAATAAAATCTACTTTGAAAGCTATGGAGTTTTGTTAGAATTCCTAGAAATTTGCACACGACTACACGGACATAAAAAAACTTTCCAAAATATTCTAACACACCTACTTGCAGGAAATAAATAAGCAGATTTCATATAAGGCGAGTTTATTAACCCCTGGGCATTATTCCCTCCTCCCGTGATAAACACTGAACACAGTGGTAACAGGCTCTGCCGAATCAAGTCTGAAGCTCTATTCAAATGAGCCTCCTGTGAATCAGCCTCACCCGCGTCTCTGCTCTCAGTCTGTGAGCAGCGGCTCAGCGACTCGTCCTCCCAGCGCCGCACCGAGCACCTTCAACCCTGCAGGTATGACACGGGCTCGCTCACCTGTCTGGGAGCCTCAGGAGCCGCTCCGCTTCATCCTGGTCTGGTCGTCCCATATTCGTGCTAAATGAGTATCTTCACCTCTTTCTTTATGCTGTGACTTTGCCATTAGCGGAATGTATTTCTGCTTTTTTATTCTGCAATAGAATTACCAAAGCATGAAATCTATTATAAGCTACTATTACTACAGCTTCTATTAATGATGACTGCAACAGCCTGATGCGAGTGAAAGGTATCGTTTTTGCACATAGACTATATGTTAGCATTGATAAACTGATGCGATGAGCAAGATTGCTGATCGGTTTAGTACGGGCGCCCTGGCGGGTGAAGTTTCAGCTGTGGTTGAATCTGCAGGGTGTCGCGCTACCGCCTCGGGCTGCAGACTCCGGTCGCGCGCGACAGATCGGGCAGGTTCCGAACCCGTCACGAGCGACAGGACCACGGCTCTCAGACCGAAAGGGGTTATGGGTTAAAAACACCTGTCTAGCCCTTATTGCACGAGCACTCATTTCTCATGATAAATGTCCTGGCCGTTTTGAGAATCACTGGCGTACAGTATCTACATATAGACGCATGTTACTGGTTGTTTAATAATAAATCGATTAGACAGATTCATAAATAAACCCCAATAACATTTTAACAGTAATACAATTTTAAAGGGTTTCAATTGTAGTTATATATTTGTAAGTGTAACATTTAGTCTGCAAGGGAAACTTAAGAATGAAACCTATTTTGGAAAATGTGCTGAAAAAATATACTCTCATGCTCCTTCAGGATAACAGTTAATTTGCAATTAAGTACATAAGTATTATGATATTTATATTGTACCAGAATTAGGTGTATGCAGACTTTTACACAGTTATTAATTAAGTATTCATTCCTGTTCAATAGCATGCAACAGGACCTTCTATACTATAAACGTTCAGTAACAGCAGATTTATCAAGGCTGTAGCAGTGGTTAGTACCTTTTCTCAGAAATAATTGCTTACCGTGTAGCTTTTATGTATCGTATGCATAAGGCATACAGTATATAAGATGTGTATTTACCATTAATAAGATGTTTTCTGTTACAGACAGTTAAGACAAGCTTCTATAATACACATCACATTACTGTTAATTTCACATTAAATTCACTTCATGTGTTCATTCGTGGTTGAGGTTGAGTTCATTACTCTTCTTTTTCCACACACACCCTTTATCACACAGCCTCCTCTTCCTGGGAGGAGCTGCAGGAGCTCAGGGTGCAAAACAGGACTCTGTCCTGGGTAGGACGCCTGTCCATTGCAGGACACAGGACTCCTCCCTTGGTAGGACGCCTATCCATAGCAGGACATAGGACTCCTCCCTGGATAGGACACCTGTCCATTGCAGGACATGTAAACACACACTAAACTGCATACAGATGTATCAGAGACTTTAATTTGCACAACCAGTATGTTTTGGGGAGAAGGAGAAGACATCAGAACCCCTGAAGACAACATGAAAGTCCATGCAGACTCCACACAGAATGTGTTTCACCTGACTATATGAACAAAAGAACCACTAATATATTCTCAACTCTCCTGTGTTACAGACCGACGTGGAAGAAATGTCTGTCCAGACTGCAGTCAGTATGCTACTTGCTGCCCTTGTTCTGATTCCAGGTAAATCTGCGTCACTTTTCAAAGACATCGCTGGTGACAGAGAAATCCCTCCCATTGCAGAGCAGTGTGGTCCACCCTACAGTCTTACTGTGAGCTGCAGGGCTGTTAGATCAGTCACACTGATGAAGCAGACAGTTAGGGAGATTAATACTGAGCTCACTTCACACGCCTGTCAGTGGACATGTGCTCAGAGAGGAGGTAACAGGTTTGATACTTCCAGCAGTGAGTGTTGCTCACAGACGGACCTGCAGCTGGTAAGACTTGTAAGAGATCAGACAGCTGGATAAGAGGAACCTGGTTCATTTCCTCATCACTCTGCTTTCCTGTGTTCACTGTGCAGCAGTTCCTTCTGCTTCAAACTGGCTGAAAACCCAGAACTGTCACCTTCTCATGAAACTCTTATTGTAATAATGCACAGTGATGTTTAGAGAGACACCAAAATTGTGCTGAAGTGCAGAAACTTCAAGAAACTCCACAGGTGGTGTGATCCCTGCAAAATTTGCAAGGTGAGCTTTTATTAGTCGCAGTGTGGAAATGGCTCTCTGCAGGCACTCAGAAATGTAACAGTGACCGCGGGAGTGGAACAAGCTTCCTATCTATTCTGTTGAAGCTGCTACCCTATAGAAAAGGCTGGATGACGTCACAGACAGTCAGCACTGAGCAGATAAATGAGGAAGTTCTTATGTTCTTCTTGTAGTCCTTTCTGTGCTTTGTGTTGTATCCCCACTGCCTCACAACTCTGTGCCTTCGATCTGGGGTGCAGAGATCCTGTCTAACAGGAAGACATCAGGCAATGACATACTGTACATCGGCCCTGCTGACTGGAACAGTTTTCAGTGTGGCCCCTCAGTTCAGTGCAAGCAGCCCTTTCACTTTTGAACAAATGCTGCTCTTCAAAATGCTCTCTTGACTCTGTAGCAGCAATTCAGGACAGAAGATCCTCTTTTCTGCCTTGTTCTCTGTGCTTGTTGACTTGGTGGTAAACCCTGCAGTTCTCTCTGTGTGGCATGGGTTAACACACACTGTGAGAGAGAAACACTTCCCCTGCACTTCCCTAAAGAGCTTGAGACAGACAGTGGCGGCCTGCCCTCAGACTTTGAAAACACTCTCATCTTTCATCCTGAAAGACTCAAGCTACTCTTCCTGGTAGGAAAACAGATTTGATTTGATATTGAATGCTTGAGCTTGTTTAATGTTAATAGTTTATCATTAATACTGTTAATGACTACTTCAGGGTTCTACACTTCAGGTATTCCTATGGGTCACCAGTTTCTAAATGTTGGCAACACCTTTAAGATATTGATGAATCATGTAAGTTGTCTATTTAATTAGGAGAAGTCTGGTGCTTGATGGGTGAAGAGCACTTAAACTTTGTCCCCAAATCACAGTTGCACATTGTATCTGATTAGGTGCTTAATTGTTCACAATAAAATAGTTGCAGATCTTCAGAATCTGGTGAGCTAGTGGTGACTCATAAAAGCTTCAGGATGGGGCTCCCCAGATGTGGGGATCCCTGGTGTACTGCGCTGCAATGCTCCCTCATGACCGCTACAGTATTCTCTACTGCTCTGCTCCATGCTGCGTGTTGGTGCTGACTCGAGGTCCTCAGACCACTGCTGGTTTTGGTTGGATTGGATTCTGCCTGAGCTGAACAGCTCCTGTTTGTAATGAAACAAGACTGCTGACGGTGATGGGAACCACATCATATCCCACACCTCTGAGATGTGGCTCTTTCTGCCGCAGATCAGGGGCAGGAAATCACTCTTACAGCCATCGTCCTCTCACACATGTTCATGCGCTGCAGTACGACTCTGGGGTACAGAGCGCAGTGTGTGAACCAGGGATCCTCACCTGCGCTCCTGCGCTCCCACACGCCTGCTGGGTTTCGTTCCATCTGAACATCCAAGGGGCAGGAAGTGACTGTAAAAGCACACCAGGAATCTGTGACAGAAACAGTTTGGGTTTGAGGAATCTCCCTTCTCCAGCACTGAGGGGATTGGAAGTGTAGACAACAGCTTCCTCTCTGTGGAGTTGTGATTTACTCCCTGCCTTATTAATTCCTGAATTTAAGAGGCTTCCATCTGTGTGCCTTTGTTCTCACTGAAGAAGTCTGGCCTAAGAATGAAACACTTAAGGTCATCTAATGACAGACAGACTGTAATTCAGGGGTCTGGAGCAGAATCCCAGCCTGTCCTCAGACTGGCCAACCTATGCCTTTTTACTGTGCCCAGCTATATTGAAGCAGATGGGTTAGATCATTGTTTCACAATCCACATTAAACAATTGATTGAACTAATTGATGACTGTTTCCTGCACTCACAACATAGACAATTTCCTTTCTGTGTGTCCTTTCAACAACATAATGAGCAAAACTGTTTCAGAATAGTTTCTAATTGTTGACCCCTACAGCTCTCCAGAGAGAAATTGTTTTCAGTGCTGTGAAGACACTCCTGTTATACTGTAGCTCTTCTTAGTGCTGCCTGGGCCCTGTGGTTCAGCTCAACTGTGCTTCAAGTCCTTGAAAAAATAAAGTGAGAGGAGAGCAGGAACCCAGCAGCTGGCCCAGGGTTCAGGTTGATTTCTATCCCCCTTCTTCTATTTAAAGGCTGAAACAGAATTCAAACTAGAAAATGACACTAGACAAATGAATGGTCTGATGAGCCAAACTCACCAAGTTCAGTCTGAATGGAAACCGTAAGACACAGGGTTACCCCAGGACTAGGAAACACTGTGGTGGAAGTTGCTCTCATGACAATGAAATGAAAATGTTCTTCATAGGACTGTGGCAACATGGCTGATTGTCAGTGTGTTGTGTGTTAAATGTACAGTTATTTACACTGTGTTCTGTCCTGTGTATTTACTGTGACAGCAGTCAGACAGCCCAGCTCCTGTCCTGTCAGACTCTCACCCTCCCTGCAGCTCCAGGTCCTCACCAGCAGGGCTGTGTGTGTCTCTCTTGCAGGTGTCCTGAGTCAGAACTGGGGGGTGTGGTACAACCCTGGGAATATCTGTGCACTGCAGGGGTCGACGGTGGTCATGGGGTGCAACTACAGTTACCCCAGTGGTAACTCTGTGACACAAACATTCTGGATGGACAAAGATTACTCAAATAATCCCACAGACCTGTCCACTCTGCCTCAGTATGTGAACCGTACAGAATACCTGGGGAATAAGGAGAAGAACTGCACCCTCAGACTGAGGAACCTGACAACAAGTGACAGCAAAACTTACTTGTTTAGGTTTATAACAAACACAACTGTGGGTAAATGGACAGGAAAACCAGGAGTGTCACTCTCAGTCACAGGTACAGTAGAGACTCTCTTCATGCTTCATACATTCTTCACTAACTGCACATGTTGACATTAAAGTAAACAGAAGAAGACCTGAAGAAGGCTCCACAGCCAAAACGTTATGTTTTCTTTCTTCTCTTTTCAACATGGAATAAACCTGTTACTTGTTCCTTTAAAGTAATATTACTGTCACAACAGCAAAATTGCACTGTGGGACTGTGCACTTTTTCATACAGACATTTACCTTAATATCAGTCCATAACTCAGCTGAGGTTAAAATGTCAAAGCTGTTTTGTAAAACAGCAAGTGCATCTACAGAGTGTCAGAAACATATTCAAACTCAATTCATATATTTAGAAATACATACCACTGCATCCACCCTGGAAGTGTTTGACTTCCCTGCTATACAACGTGACATGCTCGTGAAAAATACTGAGGTTTAAAACAAACTCACAATTTCACAGTGTTACTATTAGCAAGATGTCAGAAAATTACTGATTTAACAGGTTACATCACTTTGTTCTCAGGGCTCAATGAGCCCTCTCACTGCTGAGCTGATCTAGTGTCTATACAGCAGTCAAGGTCACACTATGTTTTAATAGAAGGAAGAAGACGGATTTATGATCCTGATTAAATGTTTTTGTTAATTTGGTTAATTGATCAGTCATGTGTGATCATGATGCTCTATAGAGCCTGTTACACTAAACTACATCCTTGTAGGTTTTTTACTGAAATGAGATTTCTTTGTGTAGATTATCTGAACCTCTTATTTTAGGTTAAGCAAAAGCTGCTGCTCTGTTACTTGTTAAATTTATTCCCAAATTCTAAAACTAGAATTTCATTTAAAGGTACACATTATAAAAAAGGTAAATATCCATGCAACTCTAAAGATCATCAGTGCGTATCTCAGTCCTGCAGCTCACTCGAGGGAAGTGATCATATACTGTACAGGGTCACTGTAACACTGATCACTGGGAGAGCTGAGTTTAACTCAGTAATTTAATTCTCTTTCATTCTCTCGCAGGTCTGCAGGCACAGGTGAACTCCAGCACAGTAACAGAGGGGCAGGCTGTGAACCTGACCTGTAAGACCAGCTGCACTCTGAGTGACCCCACTTTCACCTGGTACAGGAACGGTCTCCTCCTCCCTGCACAGACCCCCTCCAGCCCCCTGACCTTTAACCCTGTCAGCTACGAGCATGATGGGAGCTACTCCTGCACTGCAAGAGGCTACGACAACCTGCCCTCCCCTGCGGTCACGCTCAGTGTCAGATGTGAGTATGATCCTGGTGGTTTATTGGATCAGGAGTGTTGGGACAGCAGCTCTCTCTGGAGTCAGTCCTCAAGGGCAGCAGTCCAGCAGTTTCTCAGAGCTCTCCTCAGACCATCACCTGTAGTGATAGACTACAGGGCTTGAACTAGTACAAGGCTGATGCTGGATCATTAGTTTTATGAAGCAATTAGAGGGCAGTCAGGGTGGAGTGAGTCCCTGATGACTCTCTAGTTCTTTGCTCACTGTGAGAGGTCGGTAGAGTCAAGCTATGTATCCCAGAATTCTCACCATGCTTTTGTTCTCAGGTCAATGTGCTTTGACTGGGCTTCAGAGCAGCAGGATCACATCGGGGAAAAAAGTCTGGGATTTGTCCTAGAAATTGTGCTCGATCCCACTTGACCTACAGTTTGCAGATAGTCAATAATGAGGTTCAGCTGTTTTGATTTAACTAAACAGTGGGATCAGACCGGCATGGTGTCGCTGTGGCCAGCATTGCTGCCTTGCAGCACTAGGGCTCTGGGATCAATTCCAGACCCAGCTTGCTGTCTGCGTTAAGTGTGTGTGTTTTGTGTCATGTGGGGTTTCCTCTAGGTGCTCCAGTGTCAATAAACCAACCATAGGCTTCTGCTGAAATTATATATAAATGTGTTTCAGTTTAGAGGTGGCATGCATCTCCTGTCCTGTGTAAACGTCCGGGAGATCTGGGTCCAGTTGGCGACAGTAAATGAGTGTAGAGACTAGTGAACTTGAGTTCTTCTTCCCTGACAGGTGGAAACATACCCCGCCCCCAGCCCCGCCCCCTCCCAGTTCTCAGAAGCACAGCTCATTTGCCTGCTGCTGAACAATACTCATGGCTCAAGCCAGAAGGACAAATAGATTTTCTGGATCTAAATGCCACTGAGAGGGAAGTTATGCAAATGAGAGAAACCACAATGACATTTGGTGGAAAGAACAAAATAATACAAGAATACCATTCTTTTTTCTGCAAGAATGAACAGATGATGCACACTGTTTTTCAAATTAAAAAAGAAAATATTAATGATGAAAAGGGTAGAATTGATATTAATTATGGTATGATATCACCACAGGTATATAGTTTGGCCTCTGCTGATTGACAAAAATGGACAAAATGTTGAAATGTTTTAAAATACAGCAAATATATATTATAAAATAGTCATTATACTGCACCATACATGAAATAGAAGAGTTTAGAGCCCTGTGACTGGGCTGTGTCAGTGT